AGACATGGACCCGCCCCGAAGAAGACCAATGCAGTAGGCTGAAAAGTGAGCTCCTTCGATCCGAGCCTCCATTTAGTGACCTTAGACGATCGCCCAATCAGTGGCAGTAATGCCATTGAGAAGACAACAAACATCATGAGAAGACTCATGGAAGATTGCGACGCCACCATGCCCAGAAAGCGAGACATCAATCGGCGGCCATCGGTATATTGGTGGAATGATACCATTGCGAATCTCCGTAAGGAATGTAACGCGGCAAGACGATCATCTCAGCGCGCCCGGGCAAACTTTGAGGAGCTGGAGATGAGGTATAAGAAGACACGCCGGAAGCTCAACAAGGCGAGGGCACTTTCCCTGCAAAGTGGAAGCAGCAGAGGCTGGTATTGCTCTCGAAAGGGAAAAAGCCACCGGACGAACCTTCATCCTACCATCTCGTCTGCATGCTCGATACAGCTGGTAAGATCCTCAAGCGCATCGTTCACAGGAGAATAGAAGCAGCAGTTGAACCATTGTTGGCCAACAACCGGTACGGCTTTCGGAGAGAGTGATTACGTCAGTACTCATCTACAGCATTGCCGTTTGAGCGGATGCGCTCCAAGTACAGGAGATCTGACGCAAAGTGGCAGCTGTTTACCGACTGAGTGCCCTTAGACTTGCCAGCGTATTTCGCACTATGTCCGATGCCGTGTGTGCCATAGCCGGAATAATGCCGATTGAAGTACTAGCCGAGGAACGAAGATCCCTGTACCGGCAAAAAGGATCGACCTCACTGAGCCCAACCGAGCTTAAGGCAGAGGCGAGACGTAAGATCATGGAGATATGGCAGTCTCAATGATGCGCCTCTCTGAAAGGGAGATGGACGTATCGCCTGATCCCGAAGGTAGGTGCTTGGGTAAACCGTGAACATGGCGAGATTAATCATTATTTAACACAGATGCTTTCAGGAAATCGGTGTTTCCGGGGGTTTCTCCACAAATTCAAACATGAGGATTCCCCGAATTGTCCGACTGACTCAGGTAAACAGAGGAAGACGCAGAGCATGTGTTTTTTGTATGTTCACGTTTCAGAACGAGGTGTTCGGAGTGGGAGAGTGCACTTGGTAGACCGATCCTGCCTGAGAACCTGGTGGAAGCAATGCTATCATCGATGGCAGCCTGGGACGCAACGAGCGACTTCGCGGCGACAGTCATGAAAAAGCTCCGTGAGGAAGAGCGCCGTCGAAAGAACGCTGTGTAGGAGAAAAAGGTACCGGAGTCTCCCTCCCATCCCATCATCTGAGTGAGGAAGGAGGACGTACGGCCATGCGTTTGAACAGAAGAAGAGCTGCAGCTACAATGCCCCCCCGTGAAGTAATGCCTAACGGCGGTCCCACGGGGACTGGGGTAAGAAGAAAAGAGGAAAAAAAGGGGTTTTACGGAGTAAAAATCTCAGGTCTGATTTTTAACATCACTTTGCCTTTTGAAGACGTCCCCTAAACCTCTATAAAAAAAACACACACACACACATACTCAACATACACTCAGGACACTCAACACAGAAAAACACTCAACACAAAAAAAAATACACAGGCCCAACGCTTCTCCGGCCTTCACAATAAGCGCAAACTCCCCCTCGTGCTCCTAAGCTGCTCCATCTGAAATAGAAAACATTCAATTGAATTAAAAAATAATAAATAAAAAAAACACTTCGATTAATAATAAGTTATGGGTACAAAAGTTTTAATATTTAGCAAAAAACAAGTTGTTACGGTAGGCGTCCATAACTGGCTGCGGTGTCTTCGAATGTTCGGTGTAGAGGGTGAAACAGAAGTGCCCTGACTCTGCCACTATACATTTCGAAAAAGTCAGTTAAATTATGCAAAGATGGTAAGGAGAGGGGGCATCTAAAGGAAAAATACCTATTTTTCCTGTAGCCCCAAAATTACAGCGTAGTTCGGTAGGAGGAAGATGTTTCACTTTTCTATTGTCTCACCCTATTACCATCCCAAAAGACAGCAAACACCACAGGCGCCATGAAGCCAGATCTGTTGCATTGAGTATCTTGACTGTTTACGATTTCTAGAACAGAATAGTACTCATTATAAGTGCAGCGTCGTTCGCCTACACTTCCCATCAACCTTGTAGGGCGCTGTGCACATTCAACGAGAATATGCGATACCTCTGGAGACGGTTCGAAAGGGATGCGGGTCAGTACGGATGCCCAGGCCAAGTTTAAAAGGCTCGGCGGCGTGCGGATACTAGTGGCCCGTTTTTCTGCACCGTGCTGTTCAGGTCTGTGTACTAACACTGTACATGACTCTTTGAATGTGTACATGTCAGTATAATCAGGATGATGAGATACTTCTATTACAGGGCATAGCCTAGGAACATATGCAGTTCCATGCCCAAAAGGAGAGTATATGCTGGTCCAATAATCTTTCGAGTGCGCACCAGGCAAAATACGAAATTCGGATTCATAACATAATTTCAGTTTCTCACAAACACCACGGCTCTTCCTGCGGAAAGTCAGGTAGCGATGGAAGACCTGTTTCGCACTTTCAAGATCGTTAGTGAAACGGTTAACGTATGACATGATAAAATCGGTCTAACTCGTATCAAGTGAAAAATTGAACTAACATGTGAGGTTTTCACCGAACCCCTTAAATTCCCAGAATAGAAAATACCTATTGATACATTTTTAAGAAATTTGAATATAAAACATTCATGTCAACCGTTTTCAGAAAATTGTCTCGGGTCCTAATTTGGGAAACACATGTGTAAACATCCATCGTGCCACAGCGGATAATAGAACAATACCAATACATCCGGTGCATAAGTTACACAATCTGCATGTCTAAACGGTAGTAATGTCAATAAATCATTAAAAGGGCAAAAATTGATATAAAAAAATACTTACCATTCAACCCGTATATGTGTAACACGTGTGCACTAACTTTAATACGGGTATGGTCTCTCCCTCCCTACCTTCCTCCCTCCCTCCCTCTCTCCCTCTGTCTCCCTCCCCCTCTCCCCCTCTCTCC